TCTCTCTCTCTCTCTCTCTCTCTCTCTCTCTCTCTCTCTCTCTCTCTCTCTCTCTCTCTCTCTCTCTCTCTCTTTTGTGTTAGCTCTTAGTCTCAGGGCCTCGTTCCACCACACTTGAACTCAAGGGTTGAATGGAAATTCTTCGTTCCACCCCTCCCTAATGATGCTGCCGACTTGTTTTCACTTCCGGACTCTCTAGGGTGCGCACTTGAAACCTGAGGGCAGCCGGGGCAAAATCGTACTTGAAGTCAAGGCACCTCCCCGAGGTGCCTTGAGTTGAAGGGTTTGAGGATGTCGGCGGCAATAACGGTGTCGTATTTCTTTTTTGTAATATCGCAAACTCGAGATCCAGGTCCATACGCTGGTCCATCCGTTTCGGGTGCCGTCGCAACGGCTTGTGGCCCGTCCAAGGGTGTCGATCGGGTAGTTCCGTTTGGTACCTGAGGGCGGGGGGCAGCGGCGACGTGCCGTTCCAAGCGGCCGTTGGGCGGGGTAGCCGTTGCCTCCAGGCGGTGGGGCTGCAGGCATACGACAATTTTGAATTCGAACGTATGATCCTGCCCGGCGACTGCACGCATGCACCGTGCGCTTGTGATGTTAAATATCACACGGCCTTCTGCACGCATGGTTGCGGATCATTGTGCGTGCGGTTCGTATTCGTTGTGAGAGGTCGCATGGCAGACCACCTCCAAAAGGTCGCTCTGTTGTGTGCCCTACTGCTAGTGTTCATCGCCATCGCTGTCTTCCATATCTTCTGTTCATTGCGGCGACTTCTGGAGAGTCGCAGCCGGAAATCGAAGAAGAAAGCAACGCGCAGGATGGCAGGTGGGGACGGTTCTGAGAGGTTCACGTATGGCATGGGGTCACGGTTGACGGAGGGTGCTCCCCACGTCACCCCCCCGCGGTTCGACCCTGCGCTATACGCCCATCTCCCACCGCATCAACAGCCGTTGCCGGACGACGAAACTTGGGAGCCCCCCACGTCCGCATTTCCTCTAGCGTATGGATCGACGCAGTCCAGGTCCGAGGGTTTCGCAACACCCATGCGTGGTTGTGGCGGTGACGGATCGATGACGTCCCTGCTGTTTTCCGACGATGGAGATGTGGCGGGCCCTGCGTTGGATCTGCATTTGTCATCTGGGGGGGGGAGGTCGGTCACACAAACCCTCCTAGTCAATTAGCAGGGGCAATCGGAAGGGGAGCCTTCAGTGGGTGTGTTTGGCGGCCGCAGCAACCACCTGCGTAGTCCCGACGTTGGAGGTGCGCCGCCCGCTCAAGCCTAGAGTCGGTTATGGCGACCGCACTGCATTGTCGGCCGGTAGAGGACGCCCGTCGGCGGGGGGCGGTGGGCGCCACGCGACAGCAGATGTGGCCGAATCGCCCGCGTCGGGTTGTGTGGAGAGGATCATCACTCGTGTTTCCACCATGCGCGCAAGCAGCGACGGGACCACACCAACAATGGCGAGATGTATGGCGAGGGTGATGGGCTTGACGACGACGACATGGTGGGTGGTGGCGAGGACGGTGCAAATGTTCAGCCGCCGTCGCCAGCCCAAGGACGAACCGACGGTGGAGCTGGTAGGGGCAAGGGAAGGGGGAAAGCGAAGGCGTCAGGCGGGGATGCGGGGGTGGCCTCAGGCGGGCGGCGCACGTACTAGAGCCTGGACGAGTCTCTTGTTCTCGTCCGGTGCAAGAGGGATCAGGATGAGGCTATGCGGCTGTCGGGTCTACCTTCGCGTGGATTAAAACGAAAGAGTGGAAATGAACGGACATCTCCAAACGAATGTCTGTGTTCGGGGTGCACAAAGAGTGGGATGCCTGTATGAAGCGTTGGGAGAATGTGATTGGGTGGTACAGGAAGGTTTGGGATAGGGAAAAGGAGTCCGGTATGCAGTCTTTTTTCACAATGACTCCCAAGGAACGGGCCGAGAAGGGGTACAAGTTCCAGATGGACCGCAGGTTGTACGACGCTGTCCACGCTATGCAGCATCGCAGTCAGACCGCTCATCCTCCGAACTTGGTGGACACAGGGGCATCACAACAGCAACAAGGTGGAGGGGCGGGGGCCGATGGTGTTCCCGGGGGGGAGACATCTGCGAGTGATAACTGAGAGGGGGGCGTCGGGGACAGGAACGGGGGTAGGCCGGCCGGAGGCCCCAAAATCGTGAAGAGGAAGAGTGCTCGGCAAAACGCATTCGAAGCGGTGACCGATGTCATGCAGTCCCACTCGAAGTTGGTTGTCGAATCAATCGATCGGGCCAGTAAGCGGCAGTGCGAGGTGCTTCAGCGTCAGTGTGACATTATGGAAAGGGAGGTGGAAGCACAGGAGAAGCAGTGCTATAACTGGGAATCCGAACAGCGAATGCTATGCGATGCGCTCCTCAAGATTGCCCAGGCTCTCTGCAAGGACAGACAATTCCACAGGGGGGGCAGGTCATTGGGGTTGTCATTCGTCTGTCGAAACAATGGTAGGGGCTAGTTGAGCGGTCCCCGAAGAACTGTTGTCGATCAACAAGGCCGGCTGATTTTGTTTTTTTTTTAATTTCGCCTTGCTAATTTTGTGTTCTTCTTTTTCGTTTTGTTATCTTTTTTTTTTTCCTTCTGTAATTCAGCGATTGCCGCCCATCACGTATAAAATCGCTTGCCACCCGGGATGAGCGCACACAGATCCGTGAGTTGTTGCGCACGTGCGGTCGCCGTCATGTGCGGAAGCGGTGGCCATCGTCGGTAGTGATCGGGCATCAACAACAGCGGTTTTGTATTGCGTGGGTTCGGTGGTGAGGGCAAGCGATGGACGTGGTGGTCGTGTGCAGGGCCCGCATCCATCACCGCAGTGTCATGGTGTATGAGTTGCGCCACCGTAGAGAGGATACACATGGGCGGGAGATGCAGTTCCGGCACGTGTGCAGCCGCAGCGATGTCCGTCATTACGGGGTGGACACTAATGGGGCGACATGCCTTCGTCTCACTGCGGGTCTGGGGTACTCAAGAAGAGCGCTACGAGAGGTTGTCATCTACACTGCGAAGGTGGGCAACCAGATTCCCAACCGGCGGGATGTCGAGGTGGACGTGCTGCGAGAGATAGTGGAGGTCTTTGTCTCCTGTCTCGCCATGGAACACCAAGAGCGTCTGCATCATCCTTCATCGTACTCCGTCATCCTGGAACCGCCGCTTGAGGGGGGGGGGGACCTACATGGGGAAGTGGAGATTTTACGAGATGACCGGTAGTGCGGATGTCTCCACGGCGAGAGAGAGAGAGGGAGAGAGAGAGAGAGAGAGAGAGAGAGAGAGAGAGAGAGAAAGAGAGAGAGAGAGACGGAAGGGGGGGGCGAGACGAAGACGGTCACAGGCCCCATCGCCAGGCAATCGCGGTCTTCACCGGTGCAATGATGCGAACTCGGAGTATGTTTATTTGCGGTGTCCCTCTTCGCGGCGGTTGCGTTAGTTTCCGGTTACTTTGCGTCATTGTTCACATACGACCTTCGTTGTGTAGGCACGCGCGTGGAAGGATAGAAGTCCTCTATGGAGGTCGACAGTGGGTAGAATATGAGATTTGTGCTCTGTGCGTCGCAGTTCAATTTTTTGTTCGCAAGTTGGGAACACTGTTTTCGACGTTGCCGTCATAATGATGAGTTCGTTCATCGGTGTGTTTTGTGGTTCTCATCATGTTTCCGAATAAGTGCTTGCTCTGAGGACATCGCAAACACGAAAACAATGAGAAAAGAAATTGTGTGCGAAGATATGCAATAACATAAACCCTATACCAAAGGCTTGTCGCATTTCCCTTTCTTATCGCATGTGAATATGTTGTGATGATGTGGCATGGCTTGAATGCGTGGACAAGGAATGGCAGTTCGAGCACTCACTGCTTCGTGGTAACCGTTTGATGAGAAACAGACGAAAACAAGCAGTGATAAGAATGATTTACATGTCAGACCAACAACTGCCTTTGCAAATGCAAAAAAAAAAAAAAAAAAAAAAAAAC